CTCTCATATGTATTTCCATAACGTACATAAATCCCACCTTTATAATTATTTGTAATTTTACCATTTTTATTAAGGATTATCTTATATTGTCCTGTTTTAAAATCCCACGTATATAATTTTGGAAGTTCAACCCCAACAATAATATCATCATCTTGCGCCAATACTCTCAATGATAAAAATAAAATGAATACAAATATATATCTCATAATATCGATCACCAATCTTAATACTACTAATGATTGAATTCTATTTATAGTTTTTGTTTATCAGAATCATCTCGTCTCTTCTCTTTCGTCCACATTTTTGATTATTTTGAATTGTTTTACAAACAATTTTATTTTTCAAACATTGTTCACAAGGTCTTTTCTCATTATATTTTATTTTTTTTTGTCGACAAAACAAACAAGCTGAAAAAACATTTAACTTTTTCATTGTATATTTTTATTTCAGGTATTTAAACTGTCTTTGTCTTTTATTTTTTTTTAAATCGTTAAAATTTAATATTTTTATTGGTTCATCATTTAGCAAATAAAATTACTAAATCAAGTAAATCATACAAAAATCTCAAATAAAATTTATTGGTTCATTATTTAATTGAATGAAATTTACTAAATTAGATATATTAAAAAAATCTTTCTAAATTTAAAATTCAAATCAAAATTCTTATCTAGAACCAATCAAAATTAATATTAAAAAAAAATATTATATTTTTAATTTATTATACATAAATAAATCTGCATAAAACAATAGAAGAAAAATGCTATTCTCAGAATTCTCTCAATGATTTAAAAACTTTCTTAACGAGTAAATATTTTTTAATTTTAATTTAATTTATTATATTAAATTTATAACTAATGTTTTTTTTAAAAAAAATAGTATGTCTGGAGGAAACAATATTACTAAAAAACAACTCATTGAAAAAATTGATGAATTAATGACAATGTTTGAAAAACAAAAAAAAGAAATGAAAGAAAATCATGAAAACGAAATCAGTCTTTACCGAGAATTAATCAATGCAAA